CCCCCCCCCCCCCCCCCCCCCCCCCTTCCCTTCCCTTTGGGTCGGCTCAGGCGCTTCCTGTGATTGTGCAATCTCGCTTAGCAGCCACTCCGCCGCACTGCATACCTCCGCCGACGGACACAGACAGCCAAGTGACGTTTCCGAGTGCCACTCTCATGCTTGATGCGCCTGTCCACCAGAGAGCTTGGCCTCACTCCTCAACCGCCCCATCACTCGCCGCCTAGCCCGCACGCCCACCTTCCTGTGTCTTCCGAACATGCCCTTTCCCTTGATATAGTCGGAGCCTTCTTCCAAGCGGACCTTCAAGCTCCCCCATCGAACACCCTTCCTCCCACCTGTGCTCGACCAACATTCGTGGCCGTTCGCAGCTTCCATCCTGGCCCCTACGATCATCTTCCGACCTCGTCACATACACCTGCTCTCGTCGATCCCGCCACATCTACGCATCTTCTCTTCCTGCCAAAGTCTGGTCGTCCCAGGTGACCATTCGGCTTCCACAGTAGGCGCCGCTCGGACCGCTTCTGATTTCGCATCGGCTGTGCAGCCTGGCTCGTGACGCCCCTCTGCCCCGCTTTGTTTGCCTCGGCGCACCTCAGTCGCACGGTTCGCTCGACCTGCGTGCAGCACATCGCCCTGCTTGCATCCCAGCCAAAGAGTGTGGAAGTTACGTGCCCATCGCGCAATAGCCGCCACCGCACAGCGCTCCTCGTGCCCCCGACCAGCGTACTTGGTCGCTCGCCGAAACCTCCGGCTACCCTTGCATCGCCTCGCACTGGCATCCGAGACCCCTGAAGCAAACAAACTTGCCAGGCGTCCTCCACGTCAGCCCGAATGCTTGCCTCCAAGCAAGAATCCGCGCCAGCACAACTCCTGCCCAAGGCCGAGTCTCCAGCCGCCAACATCTTCTGGCCTTCGGCATCCAACGATCACCACGACGCACGACACTCTTTCTTCTGGGACGCTAGCAACTTCTCGTCCCACCTCAACGCTGTCACCGAGTCGGATCTCAAAGCTGGCGCCACCCCCAAGACCGTATCCGAGCGCTTGCTAGACCACATCCCGGAGCGATTCGGAGCCGACCTCTTCATCGAGCTCAACCCTCAGTCGCTTGACAAGGGCGTCGCCCAGCCTTCCAGCCCTCCCACCGCCACCACGGGCAGCGGCTCTTTGATCTTCTCCTCCACCGCCTCCGGCTCGGCCTGTGACTCTTCGCCTGCGATGAGCGCAAGCAGCAATTACCACTTTGAGACGCCCTCGCTGCACCAGGTCTCGGCGCTCGCGGCGTCCTTCTCAACCTCCTCTCCGAGCATCGGCAGCGTTGGTAACGCGGATGCAAGCAGCGTCAAGACCTCGCCTTCGCAACACAACCAAGCTTGGCACAAGGACGCCGCCGGTGCGACTGGCACTCACCAGCCATACGGCGCGGGCCAGAACCAGTACGAAGAACACGACTACCAAGGCCACGGTGTGCACCCGGGCATGTCGCAGTACTTCCACCGTGCGTCGATATCGGGTCCGCTCATGGCCTCGGCCTCCCAGGCAGAGCGCTACGAGGAGACGCCGGCACCGGCGCCTCCGCGCTTGCACGGCCTGGCGGCTTGGGAGAACGCGTCGGGCTCGGCAAGGCCGCACACCGCCGACGGCATGTTTGGCCAATTTGGCGTGGTGAGCATGAGTGCGCCTTCGCACGACAGCTCGACCGACGGCTCGGCCGTGCCCAGCATGGCGGGTGCTCAGTCGCGTCCCTACACGCCGGGTGGCGATTCGGCGCACCTGGGTAACTACTACCAGAACCGACGCATGTCGATGCCCGATCCGAGTAGCGGAGGCTCAGCGGGGACGGGCAAGGTGTTTTCCTACATGGCGCCCACCAACGAAGGCAGCATGATGTCGTCCGGCTCGCACGTCGGCATGCCCTCGCACGGCTACGGCGGACACTACTTTGGCAGCGGCGGTGGCTACTCGGGCGCGAGCAAGAAGCGTCCGCGCCGACGCTACGACGAGATCGAGCGTCTGTATCCGTGCAGCTGGGCCGGATGCACCAAGAGCTACGGCACGCTCAACCACCTCAACGCGCACGTCGCCATGCAGAAGCACGGGCCCAAGCGCTCGCCAAGCGAGTTCAAGGACATGCGCAAGGCGTGGCGCAAGCAGAAGAAGGAGGAGGAGCAGCGTCGTCAGTCGCGTCAGCTCAGCTTGGGCGATCAGGCACTCCGTTCGAGCTTCAGCGGCTCGGCCTACGCAGACATGTCGGCGGGCCAGTCCGAGCTGCTGGGCGGCTCGTCGGGTGCAGCGTCGGCACTTCCCATCGCCCCGCCTCCTGCCTTGAGCGGATTCGGCGGTCAGCACAGCGGTTCGGCCGTGTATGGCTCTGCACAGCTGCCGGCACCCATGGCGCACCTGAGCCGCTACAGCATGTCGTCTGTCTCGGCGACTCCGGCGACCGACCAGCCTGCCTACCTGAACGGCGCCCCGGTCGATTCGACCGCTGCTGCTTCCACCCAGTCTTCGGCCTCGCTCGGCACCCACGCGCCTCCGCTTCAGTATCCGGCCGACACCAGGCTGCCCTACTCGTCGGCCTCTCACGCCGGCAACGCCTACTCGAACTTTGGCGCCTACCTTTCCGCTCATCGCGGCAGCGCCTGATATTGATCCCCTCGTCTCGATATACACGTTTCGTCTGCGCTTCCAGTCACCTACCTCGACTCTATAATCTCGCCGACGCCACTCGGCATGCTCTGCGCCGCTGCGTGTCGGACGCCTCGACTTTCCCGTCCAAACCTTTGTCCGTGTTGATCTCTCATATGCTTATCAGAATCGCTCCCTCAGCTATGTATTTCGTCGGCCTTTGTAAACTTGTATTACCAGTGCCCCGACGTGGACGTGATGCTCGTGTGCGGCGTGGAATGAAGAAGGCCTCACTCGAGCTGACCTTGGCTCTCCCTCTGGAGGGCCTCTGCGAAGGCAGAGCGCAGATCGGCCTGCAGATCCTCAAACTCTTCGAGGCCGACCGAGACGCGGATGATGCGCGGGTCCTCGGTGGGGTCCGACTTGACGCGGTGTTCGAGCAGGCTCTCTACGCCGCCGAGCGAGGTGGCGGGGGTGAAGTATGTGGTAAGGTGCGGGATCCAAGTGGCGTAGATGGGTTTGGTGGTTCGGAAGGCGAAGGTGGGGGTGTGACCACCAGGCATCTGTGAGGATGGATCAAAAGTGGGGTCTTCGGGAGAGGCGCCTTTGGTGACCACGTCGTCGGGGTCCGAACGGGGCTGGAGCGAAGAGTGGTAGGTGCGCGCGACGAGCTTGGCGCCTGCAAACGCCTCGTCCTCGGGCGCTACCTGGGTCGAGGTGGCGAGCGAGTGGAGCCATGCAGCGAGTTTGGTGGCTGTCTGCGACTGCTTCTGCACACGCACGGTGAGCGTGCGCAGCGAGCGCAGCAAAAGGTACGCCTCCATGCTGCCCAGGTTCGCGCCAAAGTAGGTGCGGTCCGACCAGAGGCTGTCCCACTCCTTCTTGTCCTTGACCGCCAGCACGCCGCAGAGCAGGTCCGAGTGACCACCAAAGTACTTGGTGCCCGAATGCATCACCATGTCTACGCCCTGGGCGAACGGATCCTGCAGCGGAGGCGGCGCGAACGTCGAGTCGACCACCACATGCGCTCCTGCCACCGCCCTCGCCTTGGTGACGTACTTGGCCAGGTCCCTTGCTTCGCCCGTCGGGTTGAGTGGCGTCTCGACCCACACGAGCAGTCCACCGCGCTGCACAGCTGCGTCCTTGCTATCCTCTGCGCTGATGTTGGACGAAGCCATTGCGGCCTGGTAATCGTCGTCGAGGTCGATGATCTTGACGTTGCGACCGCGCGCGTAGAGCTGGATCGACACGTGCACGCCGTGGTATCCGCGCTTGATCGCGATCACCGTCGGAGCATAGTGCGTCACGGCCGCATGGGCTGCCGAGAGGCCGGAGCTGTAGGTGAGCGCGTGCGCCTTCATGATCTGCGAGAGCACCTTTTCGGCACGGATGTTGGTCGACTGCGAGTAGCGCGAGTAGATGTGGAATCCAGGATCCTGCATATCGAATTCAGCCTCGCCCCGAACGGCCTCTTCGAGCTGCTTGGCGTGTGCGGAGCTTGGGTGTGGCGATCGGAACGTCGTCGAGAGGCTGATCGACGGCGCTACGGCATAGTTGCCATCGACGGCAGCATCTGGGTGGTCGGCGTGCAGCGCCGCGGTCGCCAGCCCAGGCTTGGGCAGCTCGGTGTTGACTCCGTTGGATGGCATGATGAGCGGTGAGTCTTGATAGAGGTGGGTGTGCAAGGTGGCAGACGGGATGGCAGCGGCTCGAAGCAGTAAATATACGCAAGGGCGTTGAGCGTTCGGGCAGTTCCGCGAACCCGCTCGGGCGGCTATCCATCGGTGCAATTTCGCACGCCACCGCGCCCCACCCAGCACCCACCGAGTCATTTCTTCCTCGCCGGGTCCCACCTCGGCAGTCGCGTCCCACTTTCATGCAAAGCTTGTTTTCAAGCTCTCCTATCGATCCGCTTCGTCCCTCCCAGCTTCATTTGATAGCAAGCAAGTGCACTCGATGACCACCCTACTCGAGCGCCACCGGCAGTGCTATCCGATAGGCTCATTCTCCCCGTCAGCTTTGCTGAGAAGTCAGAGGGTCGAGCTGTGGGCAGTGTTGACATAGAGCGGGTGCTCAATTTCAAGGTGGAACCCGGCATTCAGACCGGTGAATTCGAGCGCGTTGTTCACCTGCGCCAAGAAGCGTGCTGGGCCATCCTTATCGTATCGCGTCGCGCATTGGGATCTCATAGGACAGTCGATGACGGGCATGCAGCTGGTCAGAATGCATTCCTGCTCGTCAGCTGCAATATGCTGCGAGGGCAACTCGAGACGACATAGATTGACAGAGTTTGGGAAGGCAGGCTACTCGCTGAGAGCGATGAGCGACTTGCTCCACTCGATCACTCTAGGATGCGCCATGACCTTGCTTGCTTGGAATCCGAGCACTTGCAGCCCTTCGATCGAGGTGGCACGCGACAGCGCCACGTACGCCTGACCCTTTTCGAAGACGCGGTTGAGGTTGATCTTGCAGCACGGCAGCGTCTGGCCCTGGGACTTGTGGATCGACATGGCCCACGCCAGGATGAGCGGCACCTGGGTCCTCGACGCTTGGATTTCGCCGTCCGGCAGCTCGGTCTTCCACGTCTCGGGCATGGCGAGATAGTCGCGCGTGCCGCCACCGGGCACGTGGAAGCGCACCAGCGGCCACTTGCGTCCCGGCATGCGGGTGCCCTTTTCTCGCTCGCTGGTCATTTGCTCGTGCGATTCCAGGTCGCCGACCAGTCTGGCGTGCTCCATCTCGTCGACAAAGTCGACCACCTTGCCGATCGAGCCGTTGACCAGCGTCTCGTCGATGTTCTTGATTAGCATCACCTGAGCGCCCTTCTTGACGCTCAAGACGGGCAGAGCGATCGAACTCTGCAGAACCCTGTCGCGCGCCTCGGCCTGAAGCGAGCCGCCGTCCTGGGCTCGGTAGGTCTGCGACTCGGCCTGGAGCGCATTGAGTCGTTGCGCGTTGGCGGCATCCACCTCGTTGCGCATGGGAAACAGCTCGGTCGGAACAATGTCGCCGTCGTACTGCGGCACGCGCTCGAGCCTCTTGAAGGCCTCTATCGTCTTTTGCGAGAGCGTGCCGAAGCGCATCTCGTTGAGCATGGTGACGAAAGACGAGTCCTTCTGACGGAAGACCTGCGTGAGGTTGACCTTGTGCTGCACCACGTGCTCCCAGCACTGCGCGTCAAACGCAAACGTGACGCTGCCGCCAGGGTTGACGGGCGGCAGCTGGAAAAAGTCTCCGGTGATCACGATCTGGATGCCGCCGAACGGCTTGGGTTTCTTGCGGAGCACGCGCGCGATCTCCTCGAGCTTGTCCAGCAGCGCCGGGTCCACCATGGAGATCTCGTCGATGATGAGCACCTGCGTGCGCGACCACCTGCCGGTCGCCTTGCGGTTCTTGCGGATCTTGCTGACGAGCTGTGCAACCGGCTCTTTGCCCAGACCGATGCCCGCGAAGCTGTGGATGGTGACACCGCCGATGTTGCATGCGGCGATGCCCGTGGAAGCGGTCACGGCCACGGCGTCGGGGCTCTTGCTGTGCTTGCGTCGCAGCTCTCGGATGATCTCGCGAAGCAGGACGGATTTTCCCGTACCTGCCGAGCCGGTGAAGAAGACGTTCTTGCCCTCGTCCACCACCATGCTGAGCACCTTGCGCTGCTCCTGCGACAGGAAGATCTTGTTCACGCTCTTCTTGCCGTCCGGGCCCGAGGCTACCGCGGAGGGCGTGGAAGCCCGGCTTTCGCTTGGGTTTCCGACGGAAGAGACGAGCGAGCTGGCACGATAGGCTTCGGGGTCGTTGCGCTTCTCGTTTCGGAGTTGGGAGGCGCTCTTGGTCCAGGGGAGATTGCGTGCGGATGCGTTGCTCTGCGACGCTGTCGAGCCGGTGCTCGAAGAGCGGCTGTCCGGCCGGTGTGGTTGAGACTGGTACGATGCGGCGCCCGCAGCTGCGCGTCCGAATGCCGAGTTGGATGCTGAAGACGAGGCGACTGCGCTGCCGTGGCTCGCGCTTCGGTGGATGGTCGATGCTGCCACAAAGCCGTTGTGGACTGGTCTTTGTCCGAGTGCTGATGACTTGGCCGACGATGCTGCAGCTACTTTGGCGCGTTTCTCTGCAGCTACGACGAAGCCGTTTTCTTTATCCGAGTCTGAGTTCCGCACGCCCGTCCTGGATGCAGTCGGCGGCGGCGAAGGGGAGGGCGACCACTCGTAGAAGATCTCCTGGCTGGACGGAGGCGCGCCCGACTTGAATCCATTGCGGGTTTGGGAGGACTGCGCCGTCGATCCGAGGTCATGCTGGTTGCCCGACCATGTTCGTTTGAGTGAGCCCAGTGCGGAGCGCACCTGAGGCCGCTCACCCGGGTTGTTCGATGCGGAGCCCTTGGCGTACATGACCGAGTGTCTTGCGAAGGGCCACAGCTAGACTGCGCTGTCCAGGCTATGGAGTCGGTGATGCTGGAGTGGATGTAGGGTGTTGGTGGTGGGTTGCTGAGTTGCGGGCAGCGGGTGCGGATGTGCTCTTCCAGGCCATGGCCGAGCTGCGCGGAGAGGCGGCTTCAAGTTGTCACCCGCGACTGGGCAGCCCGACGCGACATTTTGCAACACAGCGCGTCTCTGTGGTGTTGTTTTGGATGTGTGGAGCCCGATCCACTTCGCCTCGTCGGGCGACCATAGGCTGTCCAAGGCCGTGGATATGCTCCACTAGCCATCCTTCTTCATTCGGTAATGCTGCTTCTGAAGTATGGTCGATACTTCTCTCATACTCTTGTGTGCCCCTCTCCCTGCCTGTTTGCTGGGGTGGGGCCTTACGCCGCCTTTCATTTGTGTGGGTAGAGGCCCCGATCGAGGACGGGCCCACCTTTTCGACCCGCATTTTTGCGTCCCCCTTTTTCCAAACTAGCTCGAAAGGAAAGCAACAGCAGACGGCAGTGCGCGCTTCATTCAGGTCGCTGCATTTCTTGCTGGCCATTTTCAAAATACCGCCAAACGGAACGCGATGCTGACAGACAATTACATAAGCAGAAGAGTGTAAAAAAGAGAAGACGGCGGACGTCTCGAGGCGGAAGTGTAGGGCCAAGGACATCCTCGAGGTCCCGAGATGCAAGCACCTGAACGGTGACCTCCCGCAAGGAAAAAGTGTATGACAATATAATCCTCGCCGGAGCGAGGAGAAATAGATGTCAATCTATTTAGAACAGATACTACACATGATCTAAGCCCTGTGTGGTTGCAAGACGGTATGGCGAACAAGGTAGAAAGGCGGTCAGACACGGCGGTCGCGAAGGCATGGCAGGACGGGGCCTTTGGGGGGGGGGTACGTACAATAGGCCAGAAGAGTGGGGATCCGACCGGGGAGTGCGCAAGGGTGAGTTGTCTATATACTCCAAGGGGAGTCGACGAACGGGCCTGCGCAGCGCACAATTCGGTCGCGGGTCTACTGTTGCGGGCCGCGGCTGCGCACGTGTGTGCACGCACAACAGAGGAGCGCAGCTCGAATTTCGAGTTTGGAGGGCCGCGGGCGACGAAAAAGAGAACGGCACCCGGCTCCCGAAGTGTGATGGGAGTGTGATTTCATCGTACAGCGCTCCCGAGCGTCGGCGGAGCCTGACCTGCCCAGCCCGACTGTCAGCCTGCACAGCCCTGCTGCTGCGAGACCTTTTTTTTTTGGCAGGCCATTGCGGCGCCAAGCAACATGCGTGCCGAGTATGCGTCAAACCCGCTCGGAAGCCGCACCGCATCATATCTTCGGCCTCGTCGAGCTCGACTTCCCTTCCTTCCGAACCACACGCATCGAACGGACCGCACCAAGCCCTGCTGTCCATTTGATACCGCACACCCTCACCAGTCACCCACTACAACCATGGCGGACGCAACAGCAACAACGTCTGCGCCAGCGCCAGCGGCGGCCCCGGCACCTGGAGCCGCTGCGCCAAGCGAGCCCACTACCGCACGCGACATCTCCCGCGACGGTGCCAAGATCGCCGACATGGAGTACTACGACCTCCTCGGCGTCCGCGGCGACGCCTCGGACCTAGAGCTCAAGAAGGCGTACCGCAAAGCCGCCATCAAGAACCACCCGGACAAGGGCGGCGACGAGGAGACGTTCAAGATGATCGGCGAGGCCTACCGCGTTCTCAGCGACAACCACCTGCGCGCCGACTACGACAAATACGGCAAGAAGAAGCCGACCGACGAAGTCGGTCTCAAGGAGGCCACCGACATGTTTGGCAGCCTCTTCGGCGGCGAGCGCTTTGTCGACCTGATCGGCGAGATCAGCCTGATCAAAGACTTTGGCAAGGCATCCGAGATCATGATGACCGAGGAGGAGAAGGAGGAGCTCGAAGCCCAGATGAAGGCCGAGCACAAGAAGGCCAACCCCTCGGAAACGCCCGCTGCCGTCGATGCCCAAAAGACCGAGCTGCCCGCCGAGGCGACCACGGCGGGAGAGGCTGCGGCGCAAAAGGCTGCCGAGGCCGGCGCCACGCACGAGGAGATCGCCGAGGCCAAGAGGAAGGAGGATGCCAAGCAGAAGCAGAAGCTCAGCCCGGAGCAGAAGGCCAAGCTCGAGGAGCTCGAAAAGGAGAAGGAGGAGAACGAGCGCAAGCGTGTCGAGGAGCTGGTCCAGAAGCTCAAGGACCGCATCCGACCTTTCGTCGAGGCACGCAACCCGGGCGACAAGGACGACTCGGAGACGCAGATCTTTGAACGCAAGATGAAGGAGGAGGCCGAGGACCTCAAGCTCGAGTCATTCGGTGTCGAGCTTCTGCACGCCATCGGCAACATCTACGTGATGAAGGCGACCACGTGGATCAAGACCAAGAAGCACAGCTTCCTCGGCTTTGGCGGCTTCATGAGCCGCATGAAGGAGCGCGGCGCTGTGGTCAAGGAGACGTGGGGCATGCTCGGCTCGGCGCTCAACGTCAAGGCATCCATGGACGAGCTCGCGCGCCGCCAGGAGAAGGGCGAGATCCCCGAAGACGAGCTGCGCGCGCTCGAACAGGACATGAGCGGCAAGATGCTGCTGGCCACCTGGAGGGGCACGCGCTTCGAGATCTCGGGCATCCTGCGCCAGGTATGCGACAAGGTGCTCAACGAGAAGGGCGTGAGCGACAAGGTGCTCTTCAACCGTGCGCAGGCCATCATGTTCCTCGGCATGATCTACAAGGCGGTGCAGCCGGACGAGGGCGACGACGAGCGCAGGGAACTCGAGCGTCTGGTCGCCGAGGCGGCTGGCAAGAACAAGAAGAAGGGCAAGAAGGACAAGAAGGCCAGTGGTACCTCCACCCCGACTGGCGCCGCCGCTGCTGCCGCCTCCTCGTCCAAGTAAGGAGCGCTTCTCCTGCCGCTTCGACAAGTCCTCATACCATGCATTCCACCGATACCTGGCGTGCGTCCCTATGCGCGCCGTCCTTTTCGCCCCCCCCCCCCCCCCCCCC